TCGGTGCGCGCCAGCTCCTGGCAGCCTGGATGCGCAGCTCGGTGCTTTCCAGTCCCCTGGTCTCAACGTCCTCCTCCCTTTCCTGTCACCCTCCCCGAGGCTTTCAGCTCGGCTGTGGGGATTTACCCCTCCTCCTCGGTTCTTTTCCCCTCGCTCTGGCTTTCCGATCTCTCTACTGTTTGAGACAGTCATCGTCTGCCCCGAGCTGGGGAGGCGGGGTGTGTGGATCCAGAAATCCCTGTGGCGAAGGCTTATCCGGAGACGCTTGCCTACCACCCTTCGCCCAGGGAGCAGAAGAATAAACGGTGGCGTGTTTTGAGTGTTCACCCATTCACTGCTCAGGCATGACTGAAAACCCGAGACCTCCGGGGGTGACCGTGGACTTGTGATGTTCAGGTGCCGTGTCATTCCTGCATCATCTCAGAACTGACCAGCATCTTTCTCGCACTTTCTCTGTCCCCCCCCCTCCCCCCAGCATCCTCTTGCGTTCCCTAAGCTCTTATTTATCCAACTGGTCTTCAAGCTAACATACAGAACCCAAATTGTAGTTGTGGCTTTCTTCATGTCTCCCAATTAAAAAACAAATAGAGAATTATTACCGTTTTAAGTCGGGAATCGACGTTTCTTTCGGTGAGCAATTCAGGAAGGATTAGTTACCCTAACGGCCTGGCGCGAGGAGCGCACTACGAAGGCTGAAATCTGTTTTCCAGTAGTAAACCAGGTAGAATGTGCAGCAGTGAAGACAGCAGGCTGGAGGGGGCAACTGGAATTGCGTTTTATTCTTTTATTTGGCTGGAGAGCGACTTGTGATGCAGAGGGTTCTTGCTACGGTCCTCCACCCCCTTCTTTCTTTTATTGCTTGGCAATGTGTAAACTGTAACGCTGACTGTTCCCACATTTTTGGGTGTGAGCATCACAAAGTGCGTTTTCTTTTTTCTCTGATGATGCGCCACCTCTCAGGAGATACGCTTCATTTTTTTTTGTTGTTGTTGTTTCAGTATGAACTAGAAAGATAAAAAGTGGAATTGCTGGCAACTGGCTGCTATCCTTGGCTAGTCATTTCCCCTTGTTTTTATAATTCATTTTGCTCAATAAGAAAAGCGATAGCAAAACATTTTGTCTACGTCATCTCAGATTTCTGGTCTAAGGCGAGGATGTAATGATATTTATTCTAAAAAAAATCCTTGAAGATTAAAATTGCGTTTCAATGCAACAGCCATGTTTCCATGCACCTTCCTTATAATGTACTTGGATGAGCATATAAGTATATTTTGGTCAGTGCCTTTGAACTCAATGTAAATTCTATGCACATATCTCAGTTCTGCTCTCCAGGTTTGAAAAGCTGAACAGTCTTCTTAATGCTATGGTATAATGCAAGTGTGTGCGTTTCCCTTTGCTAGCTGTATATTCTTTTGTCATGAGACAGAAAAAGGAGATACAGTAGAGTAATATATTTAATTGTGAACATTTTTCTAGAATGAAGTGAAAAATAGGGACTATAAAAATCAGAGCATTTACCAGAGTGCATCAGTAATTTGCTGTACTTTATGAAGTTTTACTAGTGGTGACTGTTGGAATGATGAAGAAAATAATGAGCAGAGAAGAACATGTTCATTAAGTAAGCCTTTATTAGCTGCACGGTAGCACCTGTCTAGCACAGCTTATATATTAAGGAGGAAACTTAATTAGAAGGTCATTTGACTTTAATAAAGATTTCAGTCATTGAATTATTGAAGAATCTATTTTCTAATTATAACTCAACCTTAGGGGGGAAAAAATCTTTCCAGTTTCAGAAGTGAATCAGCCCAGGTTGGGGAAAAAAAAGGTATTCATGTTTCACTGTAACCTCTTAACTTTTTATTAACCAGGAATTTTATAACCAACATAGAGTTCTTTAAAATGCAGTATTTCTCCTCTACTCAGAGCTGTTTTCATTTTAATGCTTGACCAATGGTGTAGTGACAGAGTATAATCAAGCACCAGGGTCCTCACTTGCATCAACTGTTTGCTTCTAAATTCAGCTTGTTCTCTTCAACTTCTGTTGCATTCATTTATTGACTTATTCACCACTTAACAACACATCTTTAGTAGCTAACCATATCTTTCCCTTGAAAATAATTTGCTTATGTTGATTTTTTTAAATACCACTGAATGCGTTTGGATGTGAATGTGTTTATTTAACTACATGTAAAATCAACTTTGGGGTGATAAGTTTGAGTGTATCATGAATAAAATGCATCATGAATGAACTCCTTGTTTGTGATTTTCTTGCTGAAGTGACAAATTTGCATATTAATGTGATATAGTGTGAGTAGCTAGATTGTTTTGATTGAAGGCGAGCCTATATGCTGGCAGTGAGAAACTGCTTAAGGTCTGTGGGTCTAATACCCAGAAAGTAAAGCCCATGGATTGAAGGAAGACAGGGGTTCACTACCAGGCTCGAATCTGTCCATCTGTCTAGTTTGTAAATGGAAGAATTGAATTTATTCAGCTGCTTTCTTATTTATGTATTTATATGAACTTCCTTGCCCCTCCCTTTCAGATGAACTCGGGGCCAGGAAGGTGCTCCCCCCACCCAGCTATATTTCCAACCCATGTCTCTCAACTTTTTTTTTTTTTTAAATTTAAGTAAAAAGACTTGAATCACTCTGTATCCTAGGCAGCAGGCACTGAACTTGTGATAGTCCTCTGTCAGCTGCTGAGTAACTGGGCTTATAGGCCTAAGCCACCTGCATAAAGAGAAAAGATCCTGAGACTCGGCTCTAAGCATGTATGTTTAGAGGGCAGTCAAGGTAAAAACAATGGCTAATATTTATTGAGTGATTGCTGCACATTGGATACTATCTTGGGTCCTTTTATATGGATAAGCTCATTTAATCCTCGTAAAACTCCAAAGAGGTAGCTAGGCTCATTCATTTCATTTTACTTAATAGGAAATTAAAATGTAATGAGCTTGAACAAGTCACTCATGGATAATTTCAGTTAATGTAAAAACTTCTGTTCAACCTGAGGTGTTAGAGGTCTTTAACGTAGTCTTTAAAACCTGTGTGCTGGACTGTCTTACCACGTGGAGGTTTATCACACCTTTTGCTTAATATTTTCAGCATCTTTCTTATTGGTCTTATAACTCTGGGCTTATGAGCAAGAAACTGCTATATTGATAATTCTATTCCTATTATGTTGTGTACATCTACTCTCTTAGAAGTATTGATTAAAAGACACAAATTTTTATTTACTCTATTAGACATTCCTGAAGATAACTCTGAAACATAAATGTGTTGTTTCCTTAAGTATGTGTTTAGAGTGCGTACAACTTGTTTATTGAGGTGCTAAGTGAAAACTGTACTAGCTGCTAATGTGCAAATGTTTTTAATGATACACTTGTTAGCAGCATTAGTTGTTCAATGCTAATTATATAGGCAGAAGATTTTATGTTATTGTGTTCCAGTCTGGGTGGTAAACAGACCTCCAATTCTGAACAAGTAGAAAAGATTTTGTGGTTAATGGAAGCTAGATAAAAGATTTTTAAACACTGACTATACTGATGGGAGTTTGTTTCAATGTGGAAATTTCTCAATATTATTTATCTATTTCCTTACAAGGTTTATAAAGACTTTGGTTATCCCGTTTGAGGGAAACTGTTAGCCATTTGATGATGTTATTGGATATGACCAGATAATTTAATCTAAAATTTATATGGCTCAAGCACTAACCTACTCTTAACTCCTTTGACAGATTTCATTAAC